TTCCTATCGCAGCAACACGGGGTAGCAGTAAAGAGGAGGTTTATGTTTCTCCTGGGCTGGTGGCAGCTCTTGGGGGAGCCGATTGGATGACGTGTGTATTTGTACTCTCCTGTTGGTCAGCTACAGAGACCCCTGATTGTCTCATGGCGATCTGAGTTGCAAGGCTGAAAACACTGGAGTGACTGTGGCTCAGTTTCAGACTCTTTCAGAAGGATTGGGGAGAACAGATGGGGGTGCGTCTATGCTGAGGCTCCCGTGCAGGCTGGTTTGCATTTCCTGAATCTCTTCTCTCGCTGAAGGATATGGGGTGCTGGAACCTATTGTTGGGTCCAGAACAGAATTTCTTTTAGACATTTGGGTCCTGGATGGATCACCAAGAGGCCCATAATTCTGTTTTCAGCAGTAACCGCAGAGTTTTATCCTCCTCCCTGTTGCCTGTCACCAAAATCATGACATAGTTTATCAGAGGTGTTGCCTCATGTCTGAGTTGATCAGTTGAGTTTCACCTGTCATCCCCTGAAGATGCGAATGAAAGACCCTGGGACTTGTTTCCCCACCATGTCTCTTGGTTAGTAAGGGTTGGTTGCCAACAATAGTTTTGAATTCTGCCCTGACAGTTACTGTCCTTCATCGTGTAAGAATGATACTTGCTTTCTCTAAGAGTCCATTGTAGAAGCACTATCTCAACCACTGTTTAAATCTCCTTTCCTTAACCAAAAATAGGAAGAATTGGCTCTTTTTGACAGAGTAGATGATTTTAGACCAGTTTGAAAGCTGAAACCTGTGTTGGGACAAAGTTGTGGATGTGAACTAGCTGATCTTTTTCTGTTAGTCTTGGTGAATCTTTCTCAGTCGTGTCCAGTAGGTCTGCTCTGGCCCACTGAAGCCCTATATCGGCATTCCCTGATCTGGCATTTGCTAAATGTGTGGGAACAACAATTCCCAGTCTACCCACTACAGTTCTTCTCGGGACTGTAGTCCCAGCTCATCTGGAGGACACCAGGTTTGGGATGTCTGGCTGCCGAATCTGGGATATTGAAGAGACAACTTGAAGCCTGTCAGTTAGAATAAGTGTGAGGTTTGAAACATCCATCTTTTCAGGGTGCTTCTCTGAAAAGATCAAACTTTTTCTCTGATGGTTTTGTGTTACTGTTGTTGGTCATTTGGTTTTATTTTTACTCTTCTTAATTTTGATGGAAGCTACTTTGACTCTTTGGAAAAGACCCTGATGCTGGGAAAGATTGAAGGCAAAAGGAGAAG